CTAGGCCAGTTATTTTGGGATCTTTGTGTCAAGAGAGTAGCAGGCACAGGAAGGAGTCACCATCTTGGCAGTAGTAATTGCTCCTGATCATTAGGTAGAGGTATAGTTGTTATTTGACAAGGTAGGCAAGAAGAATCTATTTGGCACCCAGATTACCCACTGGGGCAAACTTTCTGCAGTTCAACTCCTCCCTCTGCACCATCCTAGTGCCTTCACAGTGAAGGCACTTCTGAAGAAAGAGCAACAGGGATCAGGGTGATCAGAGCACCACATGAGCTGTAACTCCCAGGACACTGACCAAGGAAAAGTGGCCATACCAAAATGGACCTACAGAACTGAGTGAGAACTGAGTGACTCAACCCCTGGGGACTGAAGTGCACTGCTTCTGAGCCCTCAGCCCTTGTTCCCTTTCTTTTTCTTTTTTTTTTTAACTACCTTGTGGAGGTAGGATTGACATCCTTGATGAGTCTGGAGATAAGTATATACTTATGAAGCCATCACCATAATCTATGCCATAAACTCATCCATCACTTTCAAGCGTTTCCTCCTGTCCTCATTAGTAATTGTTTTTTGTGATAAGAACCCTTAACATAATATCTATCCCCCCACCAGCAACATTTTAAGTCTAAAATACAGTGTTGTTCACTACAGGCACTCTGTTGTACAGATCTCAAGGTTTCATGCATCCTACACAACTGAAACTCTGTACCCTTTGACTATTACTTCCTCATTTCCCCTTCCTTGGATGAATCTGAAGGGCATTATGGTCAGTGAAATAAGCCAGACACAGAAAGACAAATACTATATGATACCATTTACATGAGGAATCAAAAACAGTCAAATGCATAGAAGCAGAGAGCAGAATACTGATTGCCCTTGTCTCCTTTCTTGATACTCAGCCAAGGACAGAAAGGAAAGCTGGGCTCCCAGCAGCTATGTTGGCAGAGGCTTACTGGAGAGGCTTGATTTCTTTGCCCTGGTTGTGTTACCCACTCCGCACCTCCTCATTGATCCTCTTGAGGTTAAAGGCAGAAGATTCCCCTGTTATAGCAAACACACAGGCAAATAACCAAACCTGCCTAACCAGTGCATAGATCCTCACTCTTGAACTTCCATTCCTTGCTCCTAACCTTGCAGGATCTCTTGACAGCTGACCCCAGGGCACACACATTTTCAGATTGGTGGAGAATGGTGCTTTAAGGTGGTAAGGGAACATCTCTCATAGTCCCAGGTCAGTATTCTCCATTATTTTCATTTTACCTCCATTATTTTTCTCTAATCCCTTTTCACCGTTCATAGAATATCTCAACCATACCCCATGGAATGTTTTTAAGCATTTTATTCTTTTAGCAATAAAAAAACTGCTATTAAATATACTTCCTTTAAATATATATATTTTAAATATTGTACCATAAATTCATTTAAAATTAGTTGTTAATAATATTCTTTATAGTAAAGAGTAGTTTTGACATTTTCCCATTTAATTACTGCTACGCTCTTTAATTTACTTAAACTATATATGATAGTACATATGATTTACAGACAAATAATTCAAAATGATGTAGCATGTTTGGTTAGAGAACTGGAAGGTATCAAAAATGCAGACCAAAGTTTAACTATGTATTGTTGTATTAGAAACTGCTTTCAAGATTTGGTGTTTGAAAGTTTATAATTCTGAGTTTCAAAAAGCTAGCTTATTTATTTTTAGGACTCTTATATGTGTTTCTAAATGAAGAAATAAAAGATAAGGGCTCAAGTTATGATTTACAAGCATATTTTCACAATTACCATACAGCTGGGTTTGGAGGCTTGGTTCCTTCAAAAATGAAAGGTCAAATTAGCCAGAATCACGGGTATATTTTTTCTTTGCGTATTGATTTTTTAAAGTACTGTGGATAACTCAATGTTGAGTGAATTTTGACTGAATGAATGTGTAGATGTGGTGAAGATCAGTAAGAGATAGGTTTGTGGAATAAGTACGCATCCTTCCTTTAATCACTGACTGAATATAGCTTTACGTTAAACAGTATGTGCTGGATCAATCCCACTGCCTCTCCAGATCCACTTCTTTCTTTATCCCACATCTCACTGTAAAAAGTTGACTTTCATGGGTTGCCTCAACAGTGCCCCTTGTAGTCTGGTTTCTACTAGATTTGGCCACTGGAGGTACTGAAGGTAAGTGAAGTTGGGGTATTTATTCCCTCAGCTGGTAGGTCACCTGGGCTGGCTAAGTCTTGTGACTAAAAGTTACAGCTCCTGTGAAGGGGCTCTCTCCATCTCCCCCCCTCACCTCTTCAGACTTGACTTGGCCATGACTCCTGCTGAGTTCTTCACTATCCCTTGTAGTTTCTCCACACTCTGCTCACACATTTCAAATCTTCTCTCTATTAAACACTCATCAAATACATGATTTAAGTTTGAGTATGCTACCTCTTTTCTGCCTAAACCCTAACTCTTATGTAATACAAGACTATGAATGAAAACAATGTGAAATTATATAATGTTCATAAAACGTGGCAGCTCGTGGTAGTCAGCAAATGTTAAAAAGCAATTGAATCATGAGCTCTCTCATCTGATATCTATCAAGTGCCACACGCGCTTAGCCAAACACATATTCAAGGCTCAAGAGAAATTCAGCTCAAATATTTACTTTATTCTGATTTTTAAAAGTAGAACTTGAAACCACAACATCTTTAACTATAAACACTCCCTAACAACCCCAAAAGTCTGCAAACCACCAGTTGGGAAAAAAAGTTTTGCTAAGTGAAGTGATTGTTTTTCACCCCATCCCAATGGGTAAATTATGAATAATGTATATGGGATATGTGTGTATGTGTGTGTTGGAGGGTGTGTGATGGTTTAGAATCCCTGAATATGTAAGAATGTACAACCTTACTGATGGAAATTAAGCATAGCAGCAAAGTTTGAAATGAATTTCCAATCCCTTAATCTATAAAATGGAAATAGAGCCACTAGCTTTCCTCTAATCCAGAGTACAAGCCGGGATCCAAAGAAGGATTATTTACCGTCCAGCGAGAGACACAGGTCTAAGACCATCCCATCCCATAACTGCCTGAGTCTCTGAGAAGCTGCGAGCAGCTGGATTATACACAGGGGATGAACATAGTAATACATTATTGTGGGAACATTATGTGAAAAGTTGGGAATCACTGACTTCTCAGCTAATAGCTATGATGGGCAGAGAGCTGTGAGCACTCCAAGATTGCTGCCTGAGAACAGAGGAAGCAAAGGAAACATGGTCACAGCAACTCAGGGTACAAACAGTCCAGTTTTCCCCCATTTGGTTGACCATGCCAACAGAAGACAAGGCCAGAAAAGGGAGCATAATGTGACACTAGGGGATACCTGTCACAAGATATGTTTATTGATTTTCTTTTAATAAAATTCCTCCAACTCTATTATGGCTTAAAAGTTACTGGGGGAGTGTCAGCTATTAGGCTGTCCAGTGAAGATATGTTTGCAAGGCAAAGAGCTTGTTTGTCCAGATCCTTCCTACCCTGCCCATCTCTAACCTCAAAGCTAGCTGTGCCTAAATACCTGTTTCTTCTATCTCTCACACACACACACACGCACACACTCTCTCTCTTATGGGAGAGTTGAAGATAGTCTACAATCTACTAAGTAAGAGAAAGTCCACAAGCCCCAAGGCAACACCAGAAAGAGTAGGGTAGATGGACCCAATGAAGGAAGGCCACATAAGAGTAGAGGGCTGACTTCCTTCTCCCTCACAATGTAAAATGCTAGTAAAAATCGTTCCACTCCCCCTTCCTCCTCCTCCTCATCTTACTTTTACCTCCTTCCCCTTTCAACCTATTTCATCTGTCCTCTTTACAGGCTAGAAAGGAACCAACTAAAGGTCACTGTGAACTGAGGAGATAATACCAGTTAAAATGGAAGGCCATACCCTTGAAGCAGAGATAGGTAGCCTTCCAAAGAAAAACTTGGTAACTAATGCTACAATATGATATTTTCTTTCCAGCACTGGTCAAAACAGCAAAATTCATGAAACTTTTTCTAAGTCTCACTCACCCTCAACACTCCTCAGATAGCCAATATTTCCTTGCATCTCTCTATTGTCAAAAATGCTATGCTGGTCAGCTCATCCCAGTGCTTGATCCAAAAAGTCAATTAACTTATGAGGAATATATTCTTCCAAATTGTCTTGCTTTACTCAATCAAAACTTCCCTTTACTGAGCCCAGCTTACTATCAATTAAAAAAAAAAACAATCTTTGTAGTGTGATTCACCACCAGTTTAACCTTCCCACAGGGTCCTTATATCCCTAAAGTAGATCTTTGTACAAAGAAAAAAGCCATAACACAAATCAATATCATGTCAATAACATGTAGAATCTATGGGGTTTCATAGCATGTGGCCTGAGGACCCACCCTTTCCCCCACCTTCCTTTTCCCAGTGGCCCTCCACTCCAAGAGGCCTTTTACCAACCAGTCACACTGAGAGAGAGAGTAGACATAAACAGCTACAAAATGAGGAGGCCATCTCATTCCAGGAATGGGATAGTGTCCTAAGAGAGCAACACATTTCTTGCTTCTGTGTTGTCCTTTCTCTGTTGAGTTCTGCTCAACCACAATACTGTGTCAACAAAAGTAGAGCTGCTCAACAACCCACGGATTTGCTGCTGCTGAGCCAGGAGTGTGACCAGCCAGTAGTCCCCGGGAGGGGGTTTTAGCAAAATAAGCAGTGGTTCTTTTTTTAACTATGGACAATGAAATTCACCGTAACAGTGTAGCCAACTCTCTTAAAATGTCCTCATACCTGGATTAAGACCCCTGCCTCTTGCAGTGAGTTCTACGACAACTAAAACACCTCTTGAGGAAAGGGACCTGGAGAAATAAGGCCTTTCAGAAAGGGAGAGACGTACTGAGCACTGGATTCGGGTGAGAAGACTCATCTACCTCGGGTGCTTGCAAAGACCTGGGGAGCCTCCCGCGATGGCCATGGGCTGCCGGGCCCCTTACCTTACCACACTGCTTACATTTTCCCTCCTGTCGACGCCTGTGTACCCAGTGATGACGCACAAAGTTCTGTGGGAAAACAAAATTAAATGAGTATGTTTAAATTTGCCAACCCCATTATTAGTTTTTTTAATGTTTTAAGCATATAGATTTCCATAAACCATAATCTGAGCCCCTATTAGCACAAAACCAAATACGTGTCTGAGTGATTTGTTTAACAATAAACATGAATCCGCTTGGAAAACTGAAGCTACTCCCATGCCCAGTGATCTTTGGTATTTGTAGAAGCCGTTCATCGTGTCCTCCCTCCATGTCTTCCTCGTGGCCACACCATAATGCCATTTCTCTGCTTCCTTCCTAGTAGAACACTGTGCAGATGTGGGAGGTCACTGAAATCCCCTCAGAGAGGTAAAAAGGTGGGGGAGATAAGATGGAGCAACAATATCCATTTTTAAAAACAAATATGTATGTAATGCTTTATATACGCCGGACACCAAACATCCGCATTAGAAAGAACTTCAAGAAATTAAGTTCTCAGAAAGAAACAGATCTCCTCATTCAGGACATACAGGAGGAGAATTTTTCATTAGCAAAAAGTGAAGGGAAAGAAAAGCTGAAGGAGAAAGATGACAGAGGCAAGAAATGCGGGCCCATCGTGATGTTTGTACAATGACATTGTGTTTAAACTGTCCTTGGGTTCTAGAAATTAGATCCGCTTTCAAAGTCTATTCTGGTCTTGGGCCATAGGAAATACAGAACTTCCTTTTCCTCCCAAATAGACAATCAGTCCTTGGGCAGGGAGTTAAGGAGCCCCATTACCACTGCCCTTAGGATATATTATAGAGAGAAAGTTGTCTTCAGGCCCAATGGCACAAATAAACTTACATACAACTCATCCTTCTTAGACAAATATATGTAAAATATTTCCTCTTTTTTTCTCTTGCACTTTTCTGAGAAAACACATTTTACCTGACACTAACATGTCTATCATCAGGCCACAACCCATATTTCCCTTTAAAAGGTCATTCAGCAAATACTTACTAGATGCCTACTACCTGCCAGGCCCTGTTGTAGGTACACAGGTTTACAGGAAATAGATCAGCATTGAGGAAAAAAAGGGTTCTATCGACACATGAAATTCAGAGTGACGAAAATACCTCTAACAAACATGAGCATTATCTAAAATGTTACCTCCATTTCTCTTTATAATGTCAAATCAATTCAAGTTAAAACTAAACAAAGATCCTGGAGGAATAATGGTCTTTTAACTATAATAAGATATAAAGAAGCATAACAGTCCCCTAATTAGTCTAAATTTTGTCTTGCTTTTCCCACTGAGGCAGTTTAATAAAACAAGGACACAATTCTTATATTGTTCTCAGAAAGAAGTTAATAATATTTTTGAGTACTCACTGTGTCAGGCACTTTTAAAATGCTTTAAATGTAATAATTATTTTAATTTTCATGAGAATTTTTATGAGTAGAGGTGCTATTCAGTCAGTATGTACCAGAAAAATCCCATGGATTGTTAAAACACTGAAATATTTCTATACTGGTTGATAAATTAGTTTAGTTCCCCTATGATCCCCCTGGCTCCTCCCTAACTGCCATAACACCCCACCTCACCCCACCCCCTCAACATTGGAAATCATTTCTATCCCCTCACTATTAAGCAACTAGAATGTTCATTTTTGGCAGGTGTCTGGGATTCTGTTCCAATGACCTCTCTTTCAAAAACAAATCACATTGCCTGAACAATGCCACTGGGATCCCTCCAGCCCAGCACACTCAGAAGACTGGGCTGTGCCCAACTGATGGTTTTTGTCCGTGTAAGTTTAAGTATCACACAAACAATGCTGGGTCCCATGGCCAGCTGTGGCTCTCAGAACAGTGGCAGCAAGTCAGGAACCTGCCCAGTTATCAGGGTCCACACCACCTCCTGGGGATGAAGTTGCTGGACCCTGCGCCGCTGTACCTCACAGGTGAGGCTGATCACTTCAGCCTTCCATCCACTCAGGTGATGAGAACTCTAGCCCACTGCTGGCTTAAGAATGGAACTAGAGGGTATTATGCTAAGTGAAATAAGTCAATCAGAGAAAAACAAGTACCATATGATCTCACTGATATGTGGAATTTGAGAAACAAGGCAGAGGATCATAGGGGAAGGGAGGGAAAAATGAAACAAGATGAAACCAGAGAGGGAGATAAACCATAAGAGACTCTTAATCTCAAGAAACAAACTGAGGGTTGCTGGAGTGGAGGGGGTGGGAGGGATGGGGTGGCTGGGTGATGGACATTGGGGAGGGTATGTGTTGTGGTGAGCGCTGTGAATTGTGTTAGACTGAATCACAGACCTGTACCCCTGAAACAAATACAAATAATGCATTATGTGTTTTTTTTTTTAAAGATTTTTATTTATTTGACAGAGAGAGACACAGTGAGAGAGGGAACACAAGCAGGGGGACTGTGAGAGGGAGAAGCAGGCTTCCTGTGGAGCAGGGAGCCCAATGCGGGGCTCGATCCTAGGACCCTGGGATCATGACCTGAGCGGAAGGCAGACGCTTAATGACTGAGCCACCCAGGCGCTCCACATTATGTGTTAAAAAAAAAAAAAAAAAAAAAAAGAACAGGGCTGGGGAGGACCTGGCCAGTTGCCAACTATACCATATCTCAATTCACAATGTTTTAGGGCACATTATCAGAGGGTTTTGCTTGAATTATCATTATCATCCTCCTTTTAGAGATCATAAAACTAAGGTATTGAGCAGTGACTTCAGATGTAAGGGTCAGAGCAAGGATTCAAAGCCAGGCAGGCTGGCAACGGAGTCTACACTCTGAACCCCTGGGTCGCTATGCCTTTCCTCTGTGCTGAAAGCTCGGGATCAAGCTCCTTCAGGAAATGATTTCAATGACAGTCAGTAGTAGAAATATTGAATATACAAAAATGTCAGACAATACTATGAGAGAGAAAAATTTACTGTAATTGCTGTTAGTTTAGCAGAAGCGGTGGGAACATGAACAATGTCATTGATGATAAGGGAAATTATCTGCTTATGGAGATTATAAATCACCTAATGACTATCAATTGAGGGAGAGAAATGTTGGAAGAATTTGATGCAATTGCCTATGAAATCAGGGCTGACTCATAGGGTTATTTAGCTAGTGACAGCTCTAATCAAAAGATTAAGGCAACAATTTCCAGAAATCAACAATTATTTAGAAATTATAAGACTGACTTAATGAATCATTTATGTTGCAATATGTGTCACTTGGTAAGCAGATTTATAATACCATGTAATTTAATCTGTTTAGGGAATATAAGGGAACACTTTTAAATTGTTTATTTAAATATTACTATATGACTCAGGAAGTTGTTAAATATTTTTAATATCATTCTTCCTAGAAATTGGGTCACAAATTAAGGCACAGAGAAAGTAACTGAAACAAAAGCACTCCTTGAGAAGAAACTGAGTAACTGCCTCCCATATGGAGCTCTGATTTGAGAGGTCAAGCATCCTTCTATGAAAAGACCTTCTTAGGCCTAATAGAAATTCTATCACTGCTTTAACAGTTTGAACAAATATCCAATAAATGTGTGTTGAGTGGAATGGAATTCTGAACCTAATTTTTTTGATGATCAACTCATGTAGGTGTCACTTGGGAGGAACATCAGTTGCCATATCAATCAGGGGGAAGAACCCAATTTCTATGGAATCACTGCTGTTTTCTAATCCTTACTCCCAAGTACTTTCATTTTTCACACTCTTTCGACTATTATTCACATCTCCTAAATTATGAAGCTGAAATTAGACTCGGGATCCTTACACTGCAAATGTGAGTGACACACTGCTGTTAAGATAGCAAAGCAAGGCTTCTAACACCATGACATCTTTTTATTGTTCATCAATAATCTCTGAATTATTCATATACTATCTTCAAGTACTGGGCAAGGAAAGGGCTATTACTTATGGGTGTTAAAATCTCAGTGATACACTATTTCAGGGTTTATACTCAGTATTGTTAGCAGAAATACATAACACACTTGCTTATTTTCAAACAGCAAATTCAATTCCTAATATTACTCATAGAGTGCATGAAAGAATCTTGAAATTATAACCTAATCTATATAGCTTATGTCTTGGAAAACCGAGGTCCAGAAAGATTCCACCTAGAGGAGTCCTACCAATGTTCATTAACAAACTTCCACATGTCAGACATTCCACAAAGCACAAGGTACAGCGATTAACAATCGCTGCTCTAGATCCCTGCACTGGAGATACCAGAAAGTGGAAAAGCAGCAGAGGTATGATTTGAACCCAGCCAAACTATTTCTAAGGTGACTGTTCTTTCATTGACATTCAGTAAACTATGCAAGGTCTCTTAATTAAGAATCTCAAGTGAGTCATAGCCCTCCTTAAGTTTCATCTTCAAACTGTCCTCTTAGAACAAGAGTTCTTAGGCATTGGGGGAGAAATTAACTCCTGTATAATTGCTTTCAGTCAACAGACAGTCAACAGATCACATCCTCTATGTCCTGGTACAGTGAGTTTGGGACAAATTCCATGAGTGACCTCCCAAAGCTTACACTTCAGGGGGACAACAAACGAGCAAATGAGTAATACCCATAAATAATTATGACATACAAAGTGCTCTGAAGGGGCAGAACAAGGTACTTTGATAAAGAACAATGTGTAACCTGTTCAGAGGAAGTCATCAAAGAAGACCTTGGAGGGGATGATATATGAGCTGAGGCCTAACTCTAAGAAACTGTTAGCCATAAAGAGGTTTCCAGTACAACAGTGAACTACATAAATGTCTGAACGTGGGGAATACCGGGATACATGCCTCAAGAACTGAAAGAAAGTCCATGTGGCAGCTGGATGGGTCTGGAGAGCTAGGCTTGGGCAAGACTACGCAGGGCTTTTCATGCCATGACAAAGAGTTGGGTTTTACTCTAAGTGCTATGAAAACTAATGGAACATTTTAGGATGAAAAATTACAGGATCTGATTTCTGTTTTAAAAATCATCCTCTTAAATCCCGATGGATTAGAGGGGGAAATTAAGGAATCATAAAGAAGCTATTGCAGTAGTCAAAAGAGATCATGGTGTCTTAGTCTAGGGTGCTTGTTGACAACAGAAATGGAGATGAGCAGGTAATTTGAAATATATTTCATAAATAAAATTGATAGGCTGGCAAATGAATTAGATGTGTGGAATACATGAGAGAAGGAATCAATGATCCCTCAGTCTTTTTGACTGAGGACCTGGATCAAGCGTCATCTCATTTTCTGAGATGCAAAAGAATTGAAAAAAAAAGTTTTTATGGTGATGTTCATAAAGAGTTTAGTTTTAATGTTTAGGTTTGAGATGATCATGATGCATTCAAGGGACATGTCAAATGGAACTCTAAGAAGTGTGGACTGGAACTATAAAGTTAGGAGTTATCAGCTCAGATATGATTTTTAAAGCCATGAAATTGGATGAGCTCTCCCAACAAGAGTGGACAGAGAGAAAATATGGCCAAGTACCAAGCCCAGAGGATTCTGTATGACTCAGGGGGAGTGAATGATGAAAGAGAGTGGGAAGGACCCTCCAAAAAAGATAAGAGGAAAATTAGGAAAGATGTCATGACAGGAGAGGTATTTAAGAAGGGTGGAACCTTGAATAATTTGAATATATTTGAAAGATTAAATAAGAACAGAAAAATATCTAATGGGTTTGGTATCTGGGAGATTTTGGCAACATTGAAAAAAAGCAATTTCAGTGAATGGACAGAGTAGAAATCAGATGAGGACAGGTGAAAATGACGGGGAGGTGATATACTAAAAACAGTGATAGAGACAACACTTTGTGGAAGTTTAGCAATGAATGCAAAACTGAGACTTGAACAGCAGTTAAGACACAGTTGGAGGCTAAGAAATATTTTTGCTTGTTTATTTTTTAAGAGGGGAGATGTCAGAGCATGTTTATGGTGATGGAAATAATCTAGAGGAGGGGTGGAGAGTTGAAGATGTAGGAATGGAAGAAATTATTAAGTTCTTGTTGCAAAGACAAGAGCAGGTGTTCAAAATACTTGTGGAGGAGGGTCTGGCTTCACAGAAGAGAAGGGATACCGCTACTAAAAACTAAAAAAAACATATAACCCCTTGCATTAGAAAATGGCCCACGCAATCACAACTGTCTATCTATCTAGAAAGAGAGAAATTAAAGGACAGGGAGCTGAACGTGGACATATGGATCCCCAGGTGGAAATTCACTCAGTTCGTCTTAAAAACACAAAAGGATTCCTTCTAATTTTCTCCTTCATTAGGGCTCTGAGTTATCTTCTGGCCAATGCTGCTGTGCACTTGGGCGGCACTGAAGGTACCCACAAGCCTATCATTTTTCTTGCACTTTCCTCACCCTATGTATAGCCCGCCACCTTCCTATTGCTGACATAATGGCCAAACACAGTGGGAGAAGACAAGTGACGGGGACAACTATTTTTCATCTCTCCACAATGTCCACTCCCAAACTACCCTCCTTCCATGTTTTCTCCTAATCTTGTATTGGTAACGAGATCATTCTTTTTTCACTGTGTGTTCTTCATTGTCATTAAAATGTCAGTGACCCTCTCTGTACTGACACAACTTCTCTATTCCTTTTCTACACATTCATCTATTCTCATAGCTTTAATTACTATCTATATATGTGCTGACAATTCACAAATGTCTTCCCTCTAACCCAATCTTCTTCATAAGCTCCAAACTCACGTACCCACTCAGCGTTCTACTGGGCATCTCCAACTGAGGCCTCAAGGACACCACACACCTGAAAATTCTACAACTAAATTCATCAACTTACCTCCCCACCCCATTCTCAAATCAACTCATTCTCTAACATCTCATTGGTTTTCCAGGGCAGAAGCCTGGTTTAACTCTGGGCTCCTCTGTCTTTGGGCCCATCATCCAATCAATTATTACATCCTGTCAATTTTACTGCCTTCAAATTCATATGTACCAGTTATCTCCACCCTCAATATTACTCATAGTTCAGATCAGCCGTAGAAGAGCTCCTTAAATTGTCTCCATGCCTCCAATATGGCTGCTCTTGAACTATATGGTATTCCCTCCACACTGCAGCCAGAATAACATATTCTACTTAAAATAGTTTAATGCTCCAGGGCACCTGGTTAGTTCAGTCGGTTGGGCATCCAACTCTCGATTTTGGCTCAGATCATGATCTCAGGGTTGTGAGATAGAGCCCCGCATCCGCGGGGAGTCTACTTGAGATTCTCTCTTCTTCTCCCTCTGCCCCTATCCCTTCCTTTCTCTTTCTCTTTCTCTCTCTCTCTCAAATAAACAAATAAATTTAAAAAAAATAGTTAATGCCCCCCCCCAATTACCACGATGATAAAACACTCAGCTTGTAACATGGCTTACAAGGACCTTCATGGCCTAGCCCCTGCTTATCACTTGGATTTCACATATTTGTTATGTTCTCTCTCATTTTTGTGCTTGGGAGCATGTGCTCTTTCTGTCTAGGAGACTGTCGCCTCCTAACTACTGTCCCACCTCACACACCTTCACTTAGATAACTCCTCTGGATCTCAGTTTACTTGCCACCTCTTCCAGGAAGCCCCTTCTCTGGTATCCTACCTCTCTCGCCTATTCATCAGTGCACAGAGCTAGTCTGAGGAGTGTACCAGCTGGGAAGGTTTCCAAGGAGCTAAATCTATACGTGGAACTGAAAATAATCTCCCTGGGAATGTAAATGAAATGGAGAACATATATTTCACAAAAATGACACCTACCACACTTTCTCTTAGGAAGAGCACCATACACAATGGTAACACCTGGGCAGCTAAACTGTGTTCTAAGAAGGATAGGGTCTGTTCATTGCAGCCTTTTGTTTTGCCAATTGAAGAGTGCAATTTGGGACCTGGAGCTAGACTATCCAGGATAACACAGAAGCGCTGAGACCCTCTACCAACAACCTCACCTTCTCTAACTTTTCCATGTTGTGCTCCCTTTCCTTGAAAAAGAGCTAAACGAACCCATCTGACTAAGCGCAGCTCTCCTCCTGTCCTCCCCACTGCTTACCACTAACAGAGCAACTGCTCTTCGCTATGATTTCCTGTTTACTTGCTTGTCTTCACGCCTGGGCCGTGAGGTCAAGGACTGAGCACTGAATGTAGTTCTTCCATCTACCTAGCTACCTACTGACTTAGCAGATAAAAACATTGCAATTCAGAAAGATGAGGTAAGACGCCTCAAATCACACAGCGTCTAGACAGGTATGGAAACCAATCAGGCTCCAGTGTCTGTGGGAATACTCGGTAACTATGCTGCCCCCTGAATAGTTTCTATCCACTCAAAATTGAAAAATGGAGTTAAGATGGACCGTAAGACAATAAAGTGTTATTTACTTCTTACCTCTTCAATTCTACCACTGCCTCCCTACCTGCTCTTTAAGACCTTAGCTCCCCAATGCATTTCATGAGAATAGTAAAGGGCCGTATACACATGCTGAAGAGACTGGGAGATTTTACTCATGGTATTTATTGATGTATTAACAAGAAACCGATGTGGCTTAGAGGGAGCTAGACTTCAGTTTTTAATCCCTGGTGAATGTCTGTTAGCCCAGTGCATCAATGGGAAATAAAGGTGGTATCTGAAGCCAAGCTCTGAAACACTCACTTCTCTTGGCGATCTTGAGCCCCCTTCTCGAAATGTTGGTTTACATCTGAAATTAATCTGTCATTTAAAAAGAAAAGTGTATTACATTAGGGATAAGCACCGGACTAGATTGACTTACCTGAACAAAGCAACAGTGACATATATGGAGACCACAAAACAACCCAAAGAATAAGGAACACAGTGTAACACTTCAAATCATCACCCTAGATAACTATAGAGACCCCAGGCGATCCTCTATCTCCAATCCATGTCTCTTCATTCTCATTGATGAAATCAACATATCTCTAAACAATAATCCTCTTACACTGTAAGTTTGAGAAAAAGAGATAAAGAGTAAGAGAAAATATGTAAGGCAGCTGAAATCACCCAGCTATGTTTCAGATTTTAAAAGTAGGACAACATAAACTTGAGAAATATTTAATATGATGATGATGATTCACACACTGAAATTTTTCTTTAAGTCTTCAGTACTGCCTTTCTTTTAGATAGGCAGGTCTCCCCGTAACATGTCCATCCTCTTTAGTTACTTGATAAGGTGAAAGGAGTATAGAAATGAAAGAGGACATAAGTAAGTGGGATTGGAGCAGCAAAAAGAAATATATATATATATATATATATATATATATATATATATATATATATATATATATATGTTGGTAGTCATCCCTACAAAATAGCAGTTGGCAACAATCGGTAACGTGTTCATGAAAATAATGAATGTTGCAGGGGATGAAAATATTTCAACACATTCACACATGGCAGCTCAAGAACACAGATAACACAGAGACTTACGCATGGAAAGACAGGAGAAACAAGAAAGAGAAGACGGCAGACGACACAATCACGGCTGGAGCCCCCCCTTTCCTGCAAGTGACTGATCCATGGACTCTGCAGAATCTGCTTCTTCTGGAGGCAAGACACCACGGGGATGTCACCTCCAGCCCACCCACACATTTGTGCTGTGCAAGCAGAATGGTCCCCCCGAGGAAGAAAGGAGAGCTGCCTTCTGGCCTGGCTCTCTTCCTTACAGCCACTTTAGGAAGAAGAAACTCAAAAGGTCAGACCAATCTAAACAATGATTTTAAAGAGCTTATGGATTTTTTTTTCTTAAAGAAAGAAGATTTTTCTTTAAGGAAAAAAACATCTTGCGGAAAATTCTATGGGTGAACAACGTTTGTCATTGTAAAAAAAAAAAAATCTCGTGTACCAGGCTCTTCTCTCTAACCTTACCACTCCTCCTCCCAAGAGGCAACATAAAATGATACCGAATTATCCTTCAGCAAACAATAGGGTGAATTAACCTGAAGCACTGGTTTTCCATTACTAGTCTGGTAACGATGTCGGTCTTTCAGCGTTTTCAAAGGGCATGGTTTTGAAAAAGTTGAAAATAGCAAGTGACAGCTTGTCTTAGAAGCCCAAACACTTGCAATGTAGCCAACACTGCAGCAGGTGGCGCTGTCTCACCTTTTCTAGCTGTTCAATGCAGGCGGTGTGGACGACGATTTTACAGACCGCACACTTCCTCCTCAGGGCCGATTTCTACAACATTCAATTCAAAATACAAAAAGAAACGTTACCAGTCTGCTCTGGAGAGCTCCCTGGCATTAAAGAGAGTATACATAATGAAAGCAAACATAAGCAAATTTAAAACACCATCTTAAGCATTTGAAAATAGGGCAAACTTTAGTCTTTTGACCCACCTCCCACCTCCGTATCTCAATGACTTAGGGAGGCTAGATTTTCTCTCCAAAACAGAATACTTATAATAGCTGCTATATACTGAGCATATAATATGAACCAGGCTCTTTACTCTGTTGTTCTTAAGTTTTATAACCTAACAACGTAGACATTAGTCGCCTCCGTTTTTATGGGTTTTTGTTTGTTTTTGTCTTTTTACATTTTTACGCCAGTAGGTAAGCAGCGGGACCAACATGCAGAATTAGGTCTCAGCTCAAAACAGGCACTCCTTCCCTACTGCCAAGAGCCGACATCTCAAGGGGCCAATCGCTTTAGGCTTCTATCCCAGGCACGAATCTCTACGAAGCTACTTGGGTCTTCCCTCAAATCTTCAGCAAAGTAATAAGACAAGCCTAACTCTTCCACCTGGTAATAACAATCAACAGTAATAATAGCAGGAGCAGCTAACAGGAATGCCAGACTCGCTGTGAGTCAGGCACTCGGAAGCACTTCACAAATAGTAGTAATTCATTTAACCTTCAACAACGCTAAGAAATTGGTAGTATTTTTCCTCCCATTTCACGGATGAGAAAGTGGTGGCACAGTAAGCGATGTGTGTGAGGTCTCATAATGAGGACACAGCAGAGCCGGGGAGGCTAGCTCCGAGCTCATGCTTGTCCGCATGACACAGTTTGGCCTCTTGGATGGTCAGTACCAGTTTCAATGCACAATAAAAATACTTTTGGAGGTGTATCTTTCCCCTAACAATAAAACAAAAAAACAAAAACAAAAACAAAAAACCCCAAGCAGCAGGGTGAGAGAGGAACAGGGAGAATCTCGATCCTGCCAGTGCCATGTAAAATCCAAGCGAGGAATGTTCAGGCCTCCCCAGACGGCACAGGCTAGAAGGTAGGTCCGCATGAGTAACTTTGGGGCTTGAGCACTGAAAGCAGCTTCATATAACAAAGCTAATCTGTGAAATAGTGAATCAAAGCATCCAAGTGTGAAAGGCCTTGAGTCCTTATTCTTAGGAAAGGTGCTAGTATAGATTGCTGGCAAGCTGCCCTCTTCTGATGTGTGGCTTCCCCTGTGGAGGTATAATTTGGGAGCCAAAAATCGAGGTATTGCTACTACCAAAGAAGATTAGAAGGACTGCAAACCGCCCCCTTGGAAAGGGCGGTATCAGGAACGTAGCTTCAGCCGGCTCCCTCCCAGACGGTTCCACGCATTCAACGTGGGGTATGCAAAGAGCTATCTGCCTCCCACGAGGCACCCAGAACCCTCCAGCAACTCCACTTGCAGTCTAGACACCTGCTGACTGAGGTTTAGTTACCGGCTTGCAGAGGGCTCTCCTCTGCCTGAGGAAAGAACATGGTCTGGAACATTAAATAAGTTTGACAATCAATTGATTTTGCAAAGAACAAAGGATAAGGGAAACTCAAGCATCTAGCCCCACTACTGGAAAGTGTCTCAGCTCTACTTCTGAAAAGACAGGAGGGGGAGGAGAAAGAGGGTGGGAGGGGGAAGAACAAGGAGGAGCCCTAGTAGAAGCCGCACCAGCACTCAGGGCAACAAGAACAGGATTCTAGTTGGCAAATTTTCACAAGCACAATGCCCATAAGCAAATTCAGGTTGCTCTCCTGTTTCCTTCAGATCTCCGGGCAGAGATCACTGAGGTGGCACCATCTGCAGAAAATGCATGGGGCATTTGAGTCACGTGGCCAGTCAGAGTTGCAGTGATGCTAAGGAAACTGGAATGGATTCCAGTCTACTCGTTATCCACAAAACCCCTGGTAGCTTACACTGCAGACAAACGAAGCAACTCTGCTCACAGTAGGCAACCACTGATGGGCTACGGTTTTTTAAGCACACAGACAAGCCTCCTTCCTTATCAATAAGTCCTGCTCCAGTCTGGCTTTGCACCTGCAGAGCTCCAGGGACTCTGTGAACCTCCTAAGAGGCCACTGAGGATTGTAGGAAGAGCACCAAGCAGGTGCAGGGACCCAGAATACCTCTTCCCTGCCTTGTTTTCCATACCAGGATTCTAAGTCAGAATCTCTTTTGAATAAGGGGTCTGAGCTCACAGTAAGAGTTTGAGAACCACAAGGTTAACCTATGGTATCTCTCAGCCCTCCGGGACAGCATGTAAATATACCAACATCATTCACAGGGACAATTCAAGTACAATGTTCTCGAGATGATAATGTATGAAGTAAAGTGCTTTAAGTTATAAAGCCAATTTTATTTAAACAATATTGAATTTTAAAAGACCCTCATAACATGTATGTTTTCGTGCCTTTAGAGCTAGTGATATCGACCATAATCTGAATTTTTCTTAATAAACACTATAACACGATGCATTTTACTATGAAGAAAGTTACTTTTGTTTTCTAACAGACTAGATATCCTTTCAATGTTGTGCCTGTCTCTTGTTGCCTTCAATTTCTTCAATGACAGCTTCTAAACCGTTTATAATCTAAGAAATCGGGTAATTCAGGTTTATGATCATATGCAAAATTAAGCAGATTCTGAATGAAGGCCTTTTTTCATAGTAATGAAATACATGGGGTTCAGTTCCTCAACTGATAAAAACTGTTACAGTGAATCAGAAATTTTAACTGCTGAATTCTTGGTTTATGACTATGTTTCAATTGGTCAAAGTTATTTGAAGTTGCTGGATGATAAGTTTCTGTGGGTAGAAATTGCTCAAAACAAAGAACTTTTTGGGCTTGGTTATGTTACAATTTTTATTTACAAGACTTAAACTAAATACAAAGTTAAAATATCAGAATCTAGACTGTATTTACTTTTTCTTACAAACAAAAACAACCGAACTCGTATCTAAACCGACGCTTCCTTCACTATGAAAAGTGATGAATCAAAAATGTCATTAGTTCCACATGTTTACAGATTCAAATTTAAAAATTTTAAAAACTCACTCTCTTCAATGAATTTAAAGGCCAGACTTACTGTTTTAAATATCAAGTAAAGTAACTTCAGTGTTCTTACTAAGTTCTTACTAATCAGTTTTCTGATTTTGTCAGTATCCAAAGGAAATCCATTAGCTTGTCAATTGTGTGTGTGTGTGTGTGTGTGTGTGTAACATCTATGAAAAGTAAGACAATATAGGATGTAATACGGACCATATCCCATCACACCAGGATCAACATTTGTTTGCATAACAACAACAAAATGATATGCTGTACGTCCAGTCAGTGGGCATAATCCCACTAGCAGACTAACGGTGATCGTAGGAGAAAACATTCTAAGTTCTGACTCTGCCCTCTGTTTCCCCATGTAACAGGCACTCTGGCATTCAAAGCAGTAATAGCTCCTCACCCAACTTCAGCTCCTATCAAGCACAGAAGTAAAATTATCACAGCCTTAGACCACTGGAGCTGGGGCTGGGACAGAAGGACCCAAGGCAAGCAGGGGTAGAAAGTGTGTGAATTGTTCCTGACAAAGAATTTAAGATCTAGTGCCCTCCCACCCACCCATCCACCACCTCTGGTCATAAGTCCCTGATCCATATGCACGCAAGAAAGCTATATTTTCTTCCTCTGAGCCAGAGATGTGATTTTCCCTAAGTAGCAATGAATATCTGGTCATAGTTAACAGAGTTTGATAGAAAGAAGAGAGGACAGAGGAAGGAGGGAAGGGAAGCAAGACCCAGCTGCACAGGCCTATGATTTGTAAAAAGGCTGGGGCTTCTTAGTGTCCGAGGCAACTGAATTGTTACCCCTAATAGTCTGAACTGTGACCCCCAAGAAACATGTACAACAAGGCTGGCTGTGCCCCTTCCCGATAAGGCATATACCAAACCTTATTTCTCCCTGAAGATGAAGCAGATTATCTTGCCTGCTGACCTTCTCTCTCCTGCTGTATAATTAAGGATACACCCCCCACCCTCACCCCCACAGACATCCACAGGTTTAACCACCAGAGATCAGAAGAAGAGGAGTAGGAGGAAATATTCAAGAATCCTGAGAGCTGACATGGCAACCCTTTCTTGGTCTCCCTGCTTCAGTAGAACTTAGGGACCAGAGCCTGCTGCTGGCCAAACACAGTTTGGGCTCGCAGCATCTCTCCCCAGACAGGGTTCCCATGCTTGGGCTCACAGACTTATTGCAAAGAATCACTACTTCCATTAGCTCCATCTCTGCAATGAGGCCACAGTGATAAAAGGATGAATGGCTGGGGAACGGTTGGGAACCCAATCCTGGGAGCAGGGAGGAGGCAGAGAAGGCAGTCTGGGGAAGGGGCCTGATGGAGGACAGAGCCAGAAAAAGATGGGGGGAGGATGGGGCTGGGGGAATGGGCATCAAGTTCTAGCCTAGCTGTCTTCTTCCTACTGATTGTTTAGCCCCTTGGTTGGTCCCAGATCTAAAGAATCATGCCGAGGAATAGAAACTAAGGAAGGGTGGGGAATCAGGCAAAGGGGAAAGAGCAAGTAAGGCAAGAAGAATCGCATCCTCCCTTCTTGCTCCCTTTCAGAAACAGAGCGCAGTCTACGGGGCACGTTGGTGGGAGGGAGAACTGGGAGGGGCAATAGGGTAAGGCCATCCTATTTTCTTCTCCAAGGGTGGGAGAACGGACTGCTCAGTAAAGAGGAGAGAAGGAAAGCTCCTAAGCCTTTGGAGCGTCTGGAATTCAGTGTCCTTTCAGTGGAATTGCCTCTGTGGGCAACATGAACAAGAACACTGTCGCTGTATAATCCAAGGTAAATGAAAACAAGAGTTCTTTGATTTATTTAAAAACCTAATTAGAAGAAATGACAAGCATACTTGGCAAGTTCTGCTTCTCTGGGGAGCCTGGGATGCAATCTGTAAATTGGTATTAGGAAAAATGAAGAGTGACATTAT